CAGGCCAAGTGTGGCTGCACTGCTGCATTGATTCAGGCCAGGATCGTGGGGTAGAGCGAGAAAAGGGTGAGGAAGTTGGGGACATTGACAAGATCTGGTGGAAATGATGGACTGTGGTGTCTTGGCAGAGTGGGAGGGGCCTTGAAGATTGGAGGGGACAGGAAGGGAAAGCAGCCACTGAGGGTCTGGAGGTGCTAAGGAGCTGATGAGTGAGAGCACTGGAAGGGGAGGAGGATGCAGTTGGGGAGACTGCATAAACCCAGTGACTGGGTTTATGAATCAGTGGCGGAACAGTCTCTAGTGATGAGGGGGCTGGGGTATGGCCTTGAGAGTGGCACCAAAAGATCTGAGATTCTTTCTCACTTAAAAGTCAACGATGGTGCTTGTGTTGAAAAATGCTTTTGTGTGTTGATTGTATAGACACATTTAATCTGTACATCTGTTATTTTCTCCCTACAGAAACATATGAGGATTTTGATACCCGGATACTTGAGGTAGGCATGCTGAATGAAATACTCAATTAAGCCTGTGGATAGGTTGGGGTGGGTGGGGCAGGGATAGGGCAAGTGGAACTGTGAGGAAAAGCCTTTGGTGCACGGCTGTTTCTGAGATGCAGAGCTGATTTGGGTAAGGAAATAATGCAGCTTTAATTTCAGTTACTTGTTGGCTCTCCTGACTGCTGCCCTTTTTAGGGGGTACCAGATTGAGATCTCATGACAAGGCAACTTCGGTAGTATTGTTAATTACAGAATTTGGAGATTAGGTTTAAATTTCCTCCTCTCTAAAACTAAAGTAGCATTAGCAATCTATCCTTAAATTATAAATCAGCTGTATATAGCACTCATTTCAGGGAGCTGAGATTGGGAGGAGCCATGGGGCAGGGGTAGAAAGCTTAGAGGTGCGGTGAATGTCCTGTTCTTAAAACTGAAGCCCGAATCAAGTAAACTGCAATCACTTTCCAGGGCATTCTCTAATATAGTCAACTTGCTCTTGAGCTCACACTGCGTACTTAATCATAATTAAACACCATATGGAATAATCATTTATTGAGTTTGTGATTGAGCCTCTCTGAATATGTATATTGTTTCTTCAATATCAATTGCATTAATAGAATTTAAAATTTATTTACAAGTATTATGTTGTTGGTATACCAGTTTATAGCCTTTGAAATTTAATCCCTTTGAATTCTTATACACGTGGGTGATTTTCTGTAAGATTATCCATGGGGGTGGACTCAAGCTCCCTTTTATTTTAACCCCATTTTATGGGAAAGGGGCCACTCTGAACCACAGAGCCAGCTGCCACGTAAGCAGTTCAGTTAACAGTTCATAGTTCCTGGCCTTTTAATTATGCCCCCACCAAAAACACAGATTTTCCTATAGTTCACAATAAGTAGGTATTTCCAAGTTTTCTATTCTCAATTGAGCCTAATCCTTAGCATAGAGATCCAGCCCTATGCTAGTTATTTCTATGCATTTCTTCATTTCTAAGGTACACACTTTTTCCTATTTTAACATCTCTTTTTTTCTTTCTTGTGGTACATTCATTCAGATACAGTATATTGTGGCTGGGTGCAGTGGCTCACGCCTGTAATCCTAGCACTCTGGGAGGGTGAGGAGAGGATTGCCTGGGGCCAGGAGTTCAAGACCAGCCTGAGCAACATAGTTAGATCCTGTCTCTACAAAAAATAATAAAAAAATTAACCAGGCATGGTGACATGCGCCGGTAGTCTCAGCTACTCAGGAGGCTGAGGTGGTAGGCTTGTTTAAACCCAGGAATTCTAGATTATAGTGAGCTATGATTGGGCCACTGCACTCCAGCCTGGGAAACAGGGCAAGACCCTGTCTCTAAAAATAAATAAGTAAAATAAAGATAAG